GTGTGGCACTGTCACTCTAATCTGGAGGCTTCCCAAAGAGCAAATTCTCAGTAGATTCAGCTGCCGCTTGGCTTCTGTCACCAGATTCTGAACATCTTACCCCTAGATATAATGCAGATAACCCAAAGAGCTGGCGTAAGAGGGAATCAAAGTATACCAGAACTAAACTGTGGCACTGGCACAATGCCTGTTGATTATGTTACAAATACGAGAATTAAGATACCTCCAGCTCCAGCTAATACAAAGCCAACTTTAGTACAGTCAAAGTCTACTTTCCAAGCTTTATACCTATCTTGCAACACCAGAGACCCCTCAGTTAGCTTCAGGTGAGTTTTTATGCCTGCAGTGGTCAGATGAACACAGAGCAAAAAATATTACTGCTCTTCTGAAAACTCAAGAGCAAGGGAAGGCAGGACAGTATCCTTTAAAAGAATATATTAAAAATAGAGAAACCAAGAAACCAACTAAGGCATGACTGTGCCATAAAGTTTTGGAGAATACAAAATTTCTCCTGCCTCACAGAGGGCTGGCTTTAAGTCCGGAAGAGTGTTTAATATGAACATATTAGAGAAATTTTGTATATTCCACAATTCGATAGACTTCGTTGTAGACCATCCTTTCTATTTTCCCCCCTCCACTCCTCCATAAGAAGTGGCATGCTGTTAAGATTAAAGAGCTTTTACAGCTCTATACTGAAGCAAGCAACCATGACTATTTTCAAATCATGGATAAAAGGTCAAATTAGAAGAAAGGGAAGTTGATCTCAAAGGAAAAAAATCCACCTAGAAAATTAATTTGAGAAAAAATCATCCACTCAAGTCTTCTTCAGGCAAAAAAACTCCACAGCAAGCAGTAAGTTACTAGAGGATAAGACAAATCTAGTCAGTAAAATACCTTAAGAGAGGCTTGCATCTTAGAACTCATACAACATGAATTCTCACATATGAAAAAATCTTAAAATACAATCTGGGGAAAAAATAACACACTTTTAGATGAGGAATTCAAAAAAGAACCCTATTTATGCTTAAGGGAACAATATTTCACCTGCATGCACAAGTTTACTAGACTGACCAATATGACAAGGAAGAGTGCTGATCAACATCTGCCACTGCAAAATGACAACACAAGACAAGAACACACTTTTGAGAAAGCTGTTACACACACAGAACAGACCTTTATGAAAAGCCCCATTGTTCAGGGTCTTGGGAACCTGCTGGCATGGTGGGGAGGAATTATGTTGATGAGTTAGCTGCAGGGTTACTTGTCTGGTAGATACAGCCACAAAGGTCAAGCTTAAAATGACTTGCAGTATTCACTGAATTCCATTCTTTAAGGCCCTTCCACAAACCAGCTGACAGCTATATAGCATAGTCTGTCTGATTCCTTTATGGCCATAAACTAACTGAACAACTGTGCCATTTTTGGTTACATCATGCATTATCACACTTACAAACATGAGCAGCACATAACACAAAGAGGATACAGATTTCCTGAGAGAGTCTTTCAAAACAACCTATGCTGTTGGTGTGATGACCTTAACAGAAGGTCAAAATATGAGGGATAGCTACAGATAAGTAATCCAAATTTGATACACGTTGGATTACATTACCTGCAAAGAATAGAATATAATGAAAAGCAAGTCCACCATCATTGCTAAGTGAAGGTAAAGGATCACACATCTAACATAAGAAACCAATGAAAATGTACAATATGTAGAGAAAAGCTGTTCATTTGGAAAAACATTCTAGGATGGATGAGAGGGAAAATTTAGTCAGAGGCACAAAGGATTACTGACTTACAGTAATATGAAATTGGTCAATCGCATTTTTTCCATTTGCAAAGTACATTTAATTTTCTCAGACCCGTTCAGTTAGCTTTATAAAACACAAGAAAGCTGTAGGAAAAAAAAAAAAACACACTACCCAATGATAACTGAACTGTTGACAGTTTTCATGGGTTTTAAAAAACAAAGTAATAATTCTGAACATGTCAAAGGCTACACCTAGAAGCTCTGACCTTCCTCTCCACCCCCCCTTAGCTAATTATCTCTGACAACTCAGTAAATTGGCTTAAAAGGTGGATATAACATTGCATGCCTGCCACTTAAAAAACGTGAAGCAGCTGAATTCAAGTCCTTCCTTACAGTTTTTTTTAACTTTTAGAGGTACCACTAACAGTACACAAGGAAGTAACAGACATTTCACAAGCTCTGCCTATAGGCAAGCATGTATGTGTTGTAAGACAAGAGTAGTCTTAGACACCTCGCTGCAATAGGAGAAATACACACATTACATCTAATTAACAAAAACTAAAGCCCCTACTTTGGTTCTCCCATCACAAAGAGTTAGCGTGTTTGACATTGCCATCTTTTTATTCACTAGCGTCCTTAAATTCATAAAACATCAAAATCTAGAAGCAAATTTAACAGCCTAACACTTGGATTACAGAGCTTTTATTGATTCTGTCAACCTTTCACAATTTCTACAGCAAAGGGGATTATGATACTTCGTAAAAGACCTTTGAAGTGGCCAGTTTTAAAAGAAGAAAAAAAAAAAGGTTATTTCTAAAGAGAATTACTCTACAACACTGGTATATGCTAGACTTGTCTGATTGAACACACTCTCTCTCTGAAGGCAGAAAAAAAAAAATCTTGAACTTTAAAGAAAAATACAACTAAATCTATGCTTAGGTCTGTCCAAAGGGGAGCAGTTAAAGGACTCTGCAAAGATATGTGACAGCCTTTAGATCCAATAAAACAATTAAAATCAGTATCTTGTTTTAAACAGGTTACTCAAAATACCCATGAGTACAAAAAAAAAAACCAAAACACCACATTAACAATACTTAGTGCTGAGTGCAACAAAGTTGCAGTGATAAGCCACTGCTTGCACTGCTCCCAGAGCAACTGAAGATGTTTTTATTCTGTACTAAGAGGAAATACAAAGAATTTCAGTGAACATCTGAAGCCTGTATGTTTCTGTACAGCACTGTACTTGCAAAACCTCAGGCTAGCTAATGAAAAATTATGCAACAGCACAGACTAGCAGAGGACAAAGCCATCTAATTAGGCTGTAAGTCCCTGCTTTAAAAAAAGATATTAGCCCACTCCAGTCCCTTGTCTAAAAGGGCATCTTCACCACAACAAATCTTAACTTCATATGAAAAAAAAATTAAAAATTCAACATTTTAAGGGGAAACATTCAACATTTTAAGGGGAAAGCTTGAAGATACTGTTTAGGAGAATAAATGTACAAACTGCAGCATGCTGCGCAAAGGGATTGTGCTCCCTTTTTCCAAAAGGGCTGGCAAAAGAGTCCAGTTTATGACTGCATTCTATAAAAGGCATTAAACTGGTTCACCATGCGGTGGGAGAGGGATCATAATAGATTTTACATAGATTAATTTTACTCTTCAGCAAATTATGACAGCATCAAAGATGTAAGATACCACTATGCAAGATATGGGGCAAGGAAATCAAAAGAATCAAGTACTCTAACATTAAGTTCCTACGAAGTATTCGCCATTAATACATACGTATAAAAAGTATACAAACACTCCAGAGCAGGTTTTGGAAGTTGTTCTTACACAATAACACAACCTTTTTTTTTTTCCCCACTACTATGAAGAGAAGCTTTAAAAAATACTGTTCTGAAGTTTTTTTCTTGTCTTATTGCCACAGATGCATTCCGTATGCTAGCACAGGTCTACAACAGCACTACTAATACAGCACTGCAATTAACAGCAGTTAGTGCTTTTGGATGAGATGGGGAACTTCTTAATCCAAGATTAAACCACTTAATAATGCATGAGTTGCAGTAGATGTTGGTAGCAACGGGAATCAAGAGAACATTAACTGTTAGAAAGAACAGCACAAGATCTTCTGAAATTTGGAAGACATCCCATTTGAAAGACAATTAAAACTGGCACTGGCCTAAGATCTCTTCTGGGGAAGCAACAATTATATCCACAAAGGACCTGTAGGGATGAGACACACCAGCCTGGTGCAGAACACCTAGTGTCCTCAGCCTTCTGCACAGCCACAGGGACAGAAGGAAGCTAAATGCAGGGAACCTCACAGCTCCTGCTTTCCCAGTTGCCAGCCAGAACATGTGGACTCCAAAAGCTCCTGACAGTGCAGACTGATCAGGCTCCATGTTCTCTGCTAAAATGGCTACCTGCATCAATCCTTGTCTTTCATTCTGCTGTCTCAAGTCTCTTCATTCCACCTTCACTGAACACTTCCCTCTTCCTGTCATCTTGTTTCATTTTTCCCTCTGCTTCTTCACCCTTCTACATCTGCTTATCCTTTCATTTCTCCTGTCAGTAAAGTGAGGCTGCAGTAACAAACTATAATTAAAATTACTACCATTAGGTCCCTATCAACCTACATCCATGGCATCAGCACCCAGCTTCAGGACTCCACATCCAGCAAGAAAGCACAGCACCGAAAACTGACCCTGATGAAGGTGCCTCAGCTGCAAAACACATCAAAGCCAACTGTATGTACAAGAGGTACGCCTGGCTTACAAAGTTTATGTTCTTATTTTCCTGCTCTTGCATTCCCTTATTGGAGCCCAAGTTCTTTGAGGCAGAGATTTCTGGCTACCTATCTTGCAATATGCCTAGCGTAGTCAGGCCGCTTTACAACGGTTAAACAAACACCATGAATGAGAACAATTCATACAGCAAGTGACAAACTGAAAATTTGCTTCTAGTTCCAGTTAGCTGGCATACTTTTCCCTTAAAAGGAAAAGGCAAGCAATAGACCACACGGTGCAGGAATCTGAGATATCTCCAGCCTGTCTGCAGGAGAAGTACAGATCATGGATTTTTGCTCAATTAAGTTTCACTTTCAGGACTTCAAAAAAATCTTGTCTCTACTCAAGAGAAGCTTGAGTGAAGGGAACAAGGACTCCACAATCTGACAAGAAAAAATACAGCATTCATTTCTTCCAATAATAGTAATTTCTCACAGTTTGAATGCAACAATTCACCCTTACCTCAACTTTGCTTCCTGGATCATGAGCTGCAGCAGCGAAGTAGACCACCTCCTGTACTTCATCCCTAGGCCGTGCAGAGTTCTTTCCAAACACCACCAGTCCATCTTTAGAACATGGGGGAAAGGCTACAAAACAGTAACTTGGGGGAGCTGCAGCCATCCTAGAAAGGAAAGGAAGAGTGAACAAACAAAACTAGTGTTTGCTGAATTCATAATTGCATGCATTAGAGAATCATTCAGTCTACCACTACTTGCTGTAGCTAAGAGACAGTGCATTCCCTCTATCTGTCAGTTGATTGTCCAATGATAACAGAAGAACAGGTCAGATCAGAAGATGCTTATCTGGATCTAATAAAACAAATTACAGTCATTTTCAGACATTTTTCAACCAAGCCTTGTGAAGGCATAAAGAAGAGGAAAAATGTCAAGATAACTGTACCTTAAGGAATCTACTTAGTCCCCACAGAAAAAAAGATATTCTGCACCAGAGCTGTTCGGAAACACATGACCTAGATGTATTCTGCTGACTCAGGCAAGTGCAGAGACACAGAATAATTTTTAAATAATTTACTCTCTCTGTTTAGTATTTTAAAAAAGGAGAGAGAAAACATGTTTGAGGGATTCCTGAGGGAAGACAATGGTGTAACTGGAAACAGAACAAAGATATAGCACAATTATATCAAAAACTGTCTTGTCAATTTATCTACTCAGATGAGCAAGAGACTGAAGCACTAATTGCACTTTATTTTCTCTGTGGTTTGAGTGCATTGCTGCTCTTGCATAAAGTTAATTGATTGCAGTTTATTTGTTTATGCAGGCTAATGTGAATAATCTTTAAAATGCTTGTAGGATAGCACAGTTATTTTAAGAGTTTAAGTATGACAATATATTAATATGTAAACTGTTTCAGGACTATGACACTACTGTAGCTGGTCTTGTGTGCTCTGCCATATCTGACTTTTTTTCCACCATTCAGGGAAACTTCTGGCACATATGCCTAAAAAAGATAAAGGTGGGATGTTTATTGCTTGTTAAAATATTACTCAAGACAGATGTCTGAGATTTCTTCATAGATCTTAACCACTGCATTAGAAATTCCAGACCCAAAATGAATAAACATATTCCTCTCCTCCCTCCACAATATCTTCAACAAGTAAAAAATATCTGCACACATTTGGACTCCTTAGAAACAACCAATATAATCCAAAGTTTTCCCTAAAAAAACTGGTAATTTATTTGAGAGACAACGCTGGGAGTGGGGGTGTGTGCAAAGCTGGTTTTGATCATTAACTTGGACATCTCTCAAACTATTCAAATTAGACTTTTTTTTTTTTTTTTTTTTTTTTTGAGCACACACTTCTGGTGGAATAGCAGGCTTTCAATATTAAACCAAAAAAAGAAAAGGGCTATAATCCATAAAGTGGTAACTGTTTGTGAAGAAAACACTTAAGAGCTTGCCTATAGACTATGAACAGGTCACACAGATGCTCAGCCTTGCAAAAAAAACTTGAAGACAAGACGTGTGTTAAAGGTGTCCTCTATCAACACAATGTGGGATGATAAATTGTCTAAGGAACTCACATAACCTTTTAATTTAGATAAGATTATATACAAGAATAATCAGCCAGTTGAGTTGAAAATGCACTGCGGAACAAACAAACCCCTTTTTACAAGCAAAGTTTTGAGCAGTAGGAAAGGACAAGCTACTACAAACTGGAATGACTTCAGTTGATAAAATACATCAAGCAGAAGACACCTTCCTGCAGACTTCTATACTGTGCCACTAAGCCTCAGTACAGGTTCTAGGTGAGCATCTTGCTGACAGACATGAAGACAAAGCCCCACTTTAATTGCCACTCATCACTTGTGAGTCATCAGAGCATTTGTGATTAAACAGAAATGCAACATGTAAAGCGTTGCCAACCTTCATCACTAATGAAACCATTCAGTATTTTGCTATGAATAATTCCAAATATGTGGGTTTACATTTATTTTGCTGTGTTGGTGATGTCAACATAATGGCTTTTCAGTACCCTAAGAGTTCACATCTACCTTCAGATAAGTCATCATTTAGTGCTCTAAATTTGTCTTTTGTTGCCTTGCCAGATCAGTCAAAATCCTGAATAACTTCCAGGCTTACTGTGGATCTCATTATTCAAAAGAAATATTTTCTTTATTCTAAACACAAACTAAGGAGATTTATTTGAAATACTTAAGACAGCTGAAAGGCAGTAGACATCCAACAGCCTAGAAAGAAAGGCCAAAGCGATACACAGTACTAATTTTTATTACAAGTTCTTCAACTTACATACCAAACACATGGTGAGGTAGGCTTAAAAAGATGGGAAGGAATGCTTCAGCATTGTTACTGAACAAATTGGAAGGTATGCAAGGCAGAATTCTACATACCTACAGACTGAGTAGGCAGGGAAAAGAACTAAAAACCTGTAGGTATGTAATGTTCTACAGACTCCTGTAGTCCTCCCTGGAGTAAGACAGGCTCAATTGTATTTGCAAGGTGTTTTTATTTCCCGTAAATATACCAACACATACTGAAACAAAACCAAATTGCCATTTTAGCAATGCTTTTTAGTATGTAAGTATGAGTAATCTACTCTACAACTAGAGTTCACTTCAACACACAGTATGTTTTATACAGGGGGGTATAACAGTGAAACACTACAAGCTGAATGTTACAAGCTCGTACTGAAAACATGATTGTCCTAAGATTTGGCACTGGGATCTTAAATTATGTTTCCATAGAAGGAAGCTAGCTACTACAGTTTAAATCTACTCATTTTTCCAGGTAGCAGTGTTTCCTAGAACCTCATTTGATTCATTTTAAATATGACAAATGGCAGTTTCTCAGGTACACCTGTGTTTGTTCAGAACACTACTGAACTTCATCTTCCTCCATCATGTAACTAAAGCAGTCCATTAGCAGCTACCTCTCTAAGCAGGACATTTCTACTTGCCTACTTCATTTTCCCTGTTCCTTAGTTCAACTTTAGGCTGTCATTCCCACACATTTGCCACCTCTTTGTCCTGTCACAAGGTACCATCCTGACTCAATACCAAAGAAGCATCTTTCAGCTACAGGAGGAACAAAATATTCCTCCTTTACAGAATGTCTGATGAATCAGGCTAGTTTACAAAACTACGTAGGGTTAATCCCCACTCTTTTTTCACCAAGTATTTGATCCTCCAATGAAAGGCAATCCTGAAAACCTTAGAAAACACTGAGTATGGCTGCAAATAGGTCTCAAAGAACACCTTGTTGCTCATGCACGCAGTTCTTTATGACAGAGCATGCTAGCATCCAGGCTTGATTTTCTCAACAGATCATACCTCAGAGCTACATTTTGGTGTGGACAGAAGTAAGCCTACTCTGTATGTCAAAAGACCCTAGATTTGATTGCAGACCATTACACTCATGGATGGGCCACTGCAAGTAAAGAGAAAGAGGAACCATACAGTCTGTTATAGGCTACATCCAAACCCATTCTGCATAAGAAATCACTACAAACAAAGAGCTGTACATTATGCTATGTCACTACATAATCACTGTTGCAGTTTCACGTAGTTAACAGGCATCACACTTGGTCAGCGTAGAGTTAGGGTGGGCACAAAGGCTGGAGAACCAGTTCTGAGCAACAGCCACAAGGTAATACGCTCTACTTGGTATCCTTTTATTTGACAAAAACATGATACAGCTGGGGTGCAATACTGCACATGGTCGTATTTTTTTCAGTCTCCAGATCACTATGGCACTTAGCTTAGTTTGTGTTCTGACACTATGAATAAGCTTTGTTTAACAAGTTCCTTTATTAAGATCTCCTCTCATTGTGTTAAAGCTCATTTAGAGACTGTCAAGCCAAATTAATTCTACAAACAAATCGCCATTACTGTCAGATGAGCTCATAAGTACTTTGATGCACCCACTGGGCAATGTCTGGCTCCAAACATCACAATGTGAAACAACAGGTACAACAATTATCAAGGATTTATAAACATGTCCAAACATCACTATACTTCTGAAATAGGGTGAACATGAAAGTGCTGTTGCCTAGCACTGCCTCAAAAAAACTAACCCATAAATCGTGATAGACATAAAATACTAATCTTCAGGTTGAAAATATCAAGATCTGGAACATTTCACACTATGAGGATCTTACAAATGCTAATGTGCATTAAGAAGGGTCACAAATTCTAATTAGAACAACTTGCCCTATTAGTGTCAAAATTTGTCCACAATCCAACTTTTAGAGTGGTCAACAAGGAATAAAAGTCTGTACATAAAGGTTGTGACATAATCTAATGAAAACATTGTTTAAATGTCATTTTCACTTACTAAAAAAGGAAGAGACAATGGAGGACAGATAGTAGTATCCCGTCCTCCCCACATGAACACATGACTGACAGAGATAGAAGCCCTGCTCCTAGGAGAGCAGGGACGGGCATAAATTATTCAGTGTGTTTGGGAGCCTTCCTCCCGACCCAGGAAAACTGAAATAGCTATGTATCCACAACAAAGCACTGTGAGCTTAGCAAGTCAGAGGCCAAACTGTAGAAAGGTAGACTTTCATACTAACTTGCTCAAGACTTGTTTGGGTTTTTTCCCAGAATAACACTGTGTACTGCTTCTCTGAAAGCTGCAATTTGGCACTGAAATAATCTTTTATGAAGGTCAAGAATTTGACTGCTACAATAAAATCACTTCTCAGAAAAATAACTTTATCCTCCCATATCAAATAGATATCAGCTCTTTTCAAGCCAATTAATTTTCCTTGTTTGCCAAAATACCATGAAGACATTAAGCACGAAGTAATTACTAGTTTTACAGAGTTAAAAATTATGTGAAAACTGGCTTGCCAACAGCTTTCATAGTTGCTGTATTTATTAAAATAAAAAATACCAAAAATAAAAATTCAATATTATGAACTATTAGGTTTTGAAGCTCTTACAACAACTTATTGTTCAAGCAATTCCAAAGCGTTATTTCTAAAACAGTAAAACTGCTTTTCCCAACAGCAAGTTATTTTCTCTGTCTTTTCTTTCAATTGGAAAACAAAACAATAGGCTTATAATGAAAGTGCAGCACTCACTAGGAAACAGAGGGTAATAAAAAGGATCAGCATGAGAAAACGGGGTCAAAAAAAAAGGTGTCTTGAAATTTAACTCATGCTTATTGAACTGAACCAATATTTGCTCTTCATACTATTTTATTTGCTGCTAACTTAACACCCTGCTACTTTGCTCAAGAAAAGCTAAAGATGCCCCTAGAGTTACATATAAAAACCCTTTGGTTTTAATACAAGTTAGGTTAGCTGGTGTTTCTGAAATGCTAATTGAGATTTATTGTTAAGCAAGATTTACACCAAATGAAAAAATTCTGAAGTAGCTATTCCTACACATAGAGCTACTCCTTTCCTGACAAGGCACCATTTAGGACACGTTAAGTGATGCACATGTACAAACAGTTCTGTCCTTTAATACTTTATGAAATATTTTTTTTTCTACACCAATATAGTCTCTTGCCCCAAAATCTAATAATACCTACTTACCATCACGTAGAGCAATACCAGACCAGTAACAGATATTACATGAGAAGTCAGCTACCACCATTGTGAAGCCCCTCTTCACAAGAAATCAAAACAACACTCAAGCAGATATTAAGGAAGAATTTTGGTGAGACAAAGCAGTCAGCACAACAGAACAACATTCACCTCATGTTACTATGAGTAGAACTTACCTGTAAAATTTATTTGTATTGATATTATTTGACTCACAAGCTGCCCGACTTCAGCTAGATCAAGTCAAACCTTCACCTTGCAGCATAGTTGCTGCATTCATTACTTTGTGTAGCTGTGTTAGCAAGTCTTCCAGCATGGATGGAAGCACAAACAACACACTTGTCTTTCATTCAGCTTAGT